CGGTGCACTAACAGAATGTGAGTTTTGGAAAATAAAAACTTACTGACATGGTGAGTTTTAGACATTTTGAAAAATTGTGAGTTTAAGAGAAATGTTGAAAACTCATTGTGAGTTTTAGACAATTTCCCTTATTATTATTTTACATAAAAATTTGGGGTGTAAGTCGGGTGTCCGATTTGAAGAATTTACATTGTATTAGGCCAGGGTCTTTGGTCTAGGCCCATTGAAATTTCAATAATTTCCTAACTTGAACCCATCCAAGTTGCACCCGTACATAAAATGGTTGCTCTAAGGTATGAATCCATATTGCCGATGACCCAATAGCTGAGATGCTCATTTGGCATTCTCCAAATATGGAGACCTGGGATCAAACCTCTGTAAGTGCAGGCTCTCCCTGGTAAGTTTAATGGACCTCACATACCCCTTTAATCTGTAACATGTATGTAATCATCATCATCATCATCATCATCATCATCATCATCATCATCATCATTATTATCTAAGTCTTGTCCCAAGTATGTATAATCATATGTAATATATAATATATATTACACAAGCAGTGGCCCTAATGTCAAAATAAGAGACAAATTCAGCTAAATTGAATTATGATTTGAAAAGATGGCAAGAAATTGTTCATGGGTAGATGTTGAAACATTTCTTTCATAAGTTTTTTGTGATTCACTTTTCTGATACCTGCCAAATGACTATGTCAATTGAACAATTTTGAGGGAAAGTGGCTACAACTTGAGATTCAAGTCATTCATGGTCGGAGAGCAGAAATAAAAAACAATAAAAATGAGCTTTACTTTTACAACTCTTTAAGTTATTGTTTATTCTTGTTTTTGCTGCTTGTTTCTTTATTATGTCTTTGTTGCAGATCTAGTTAATCAGAAAAAAAAAAGAATGAAAAGAAATGGGGATTAATGCTGTAATGGTGTGCTTATATAGATGTTGGACATTTTGTTTTCTTGCTGATTGATTTCAATAATAGAAGAGTCAAAAATAATTTCTTTGCTTTGCAAAACAAAGAAATCTATGATAATTCAGATGCAAATAACTCATCAAGGAACAAGACATGGACGGAATCTCAAAAAGGAAGAGCACTTTTGATACTATAAGTAAAAAAAAGTGATGCAAATTGAGAAGCCCGTTTGTTCGTTGCATCCAAATTTGCTTTGCATTGTACCTAATCTAAAAGCTAAATAGAGCTTTTTTTTCCCCTTGAATTTTGTGTTACATCAAAAAAGGAAATCTAATCAGCACCATTTCTTCCTTGTGTTCCTCGTGGTTCATCTTTTATTTATACTTGAGAAAGTTTCTAGACACAACACCAATTTTTTTTTTTCCCTGCAAAATGACATTTAGAACATCAAACAATCGTTAAGTCTAATAAAATATAATGAATTTTCAAAATATAACACAGTTAATATGTGAATAATACAGATTTTCAAAGCCAAAGTCTCTCAATATAGGGGCCAGTGGGGGGAGGGGTTATTTGTATATCCTACAAATATATTCATATTTATTTATATTGCATTTTAACTAATTATTAACAATTGCAAATATATTTACATATGAAATTAGGATTGCAACTTGGGCTGGGCCAACCCAAAATGAAAAATAAGGTTGGGTTGGATACATAAACAATTGGGTTATAGTTAGGATAAAAAAATTCAGATGTAAGTAAGATTTTTATTTATTTATTTATTTATTTTTGGTAACTCAGTTTGGGTCAGGTACTGCCTTGATTCAACCCAAACCCAATGTGTTACACTTGTAATTATATATTATTGTACACAATACATGTATTGATTTATGTATATACTAGCAGGGTTGAATAATTTTATTTACTATTAATTAATTGATAAATTAATAATCAAAATGTCTGTTAATTAACTAAAAGTATTAAAGTTATTGTTAATATTTAAAATTTTAATAATTGTATTTTCATATAATGTTTATTTACAGAAAATAATTATTGTTACTTTAATATGAACAAATATTTTTTAATAAGTTTAATTTTATTAATCATTTGTAGTAATTTTAATATCTGTTATCATTTTCATTATTTTTAAATGAAAATAATTACAGAAGCTAATATTTTTATAAATTTCATTAATAATTAACAATTATATAGGAATGACAATGGGGTGGGTTAAGGGCAGGGCACCCCATCCTTGTCCCCACCCCATAGTCAAGACACTCTACCCCATCCCGTCCCTTCCCTAGTGCCAAGTGGGTTCAAGGCAAGACACCCACTCCCCGTTAAGGATGGGGATTGAATCCTTGAATTTCCCCGCCTTGTCCTCAATGTTGGGCAAGTTTAGAGCAAGACACTCACTCCTCATCAAAGATGGGGAATCCTACAATTTTCTCCACCTTGTCCCCAGTGTCGGGTTCAAGGCAAGACACCAACTCACTGTCAACCTATTATTCAATTTGATGACAAAAATGATCAAAATGATATACTAAGTATCAAACACTTGGTAAATTCCTAAAAGTACTCAAATTGTCTTTAATTATTAAAAATGTAATTTTATGAAAAATTTGGAAAATTTATTACATTTGTGTAGTTTTGAAAATTTATTCAAATTTATTTTTAAATTATTATTAAATAATTTATTTTCTTTTTAAATGGTTTACTTATTACACCAATTTATCTTATATTTTCTAATATAAACTAATCAATAATTTCCTTTTTCCAATATTATACTAATTTATCTTAATAATTTGTGTAATTGTTGGTTCAAATTATAGTTTTCGCTTTCCCATACTCATTTATCTTTAGTAATTTTCAATAATTTACAATGAAAATTACATAATTTTTCAATAGTTTTCTAAAATCTATCAAATGTAATAAATTTTCCTAAAATTTCCAAAATATTCCAATAATTTTCAATCATTATTTAATTTCCAAAATGTTATTTTATGAAAATGTAGTTTTATGTAAATTTTTGAAAAATGCATTACACTTGTGTACTTATGGAGATTTATTGAAAATTATTTTAAATTGTTATTAAATATTTATTTTATTAGAAGGTTTACTAACAAAATTACACGGATTTATATTTTATTTTCCAATATAAATTACTTAATAATATCATTTTCCAACATTATAATATTTTATCCCTCATCTGCATTCGGTTATTAATTATGATAATAGAAATAATTAAAGTTTTATACTTTTAGATAATTGTTAAAGATAATTCTCAATTTTATAGAAATTAGTTAAAGAGTTTTCAATTTCTACAAAATGTTGTTAATTAACATGAATATAACAGTATTACCCAAAATACTTTAAAAAGTCATAATGAGTTAATTAATAACACTTTTTATTAATTTTTAGTTATTTACTAACCGTATTTATTAACTTTTGGTAATAACAATATTTAATACTCATTGAATATAGGTTGGATTATATATTAACCATATTTAACTATTTATTAGTTAATATGAATATTTTAAATGAGAGAGTGAATATAAATTAGGGGGAAATATTTTAGAAATTGATTGGGGAGCGGGGTAACATGATAACATTACTAATGGCTTAGAATAGATATCTTAGGAGAGAGATTTTAAGAATATTTATAGGTAGTTGGGTTGGAAATGGTGACATGGCTTAATGGGGGTGGTGGAAAGGAGAGAGGAGAGAGATTTAAGAAAAATGAAGGATGGGGGTAATGAAGCAAGGCGAGGCATGCTGATGTGGAGTGTCTTGCTTTATATATATATATATATATATATATAAATTACGTGCACTTTTCAAGAAGAGAACATATATTTATAAATAAAGTTCGACTATGGTACATAAATGAATATTTGTGATATGTTTGATTATTAATTTCAAGCAATCATGGTCTATATTTAATTTTCATTGATTTACAATTTACAAGTTGTAACAGGTCTAATTGGCTCTAATTTTTTTGCTTCACGATCTTCAATTGTGCAGTTGCACAGTTTTGCATTATCATGGTCTCTTTAGTAAAATTTATTGAATACATTATTTGATTATCGTGTCCAAAACCGTGATTCAACCTTTCCAATATTGTGGTTATGCTGGAAGCTGAATTGAATCCTAGGAATGAGGAATTTGAAAAAAAAAAAGCAAAAGACAAGCCAAATAGGACAACATATTTGATGCAGAAAATGATTTGATTTTGTTCAGATGCATTGAATGAATATGATATGTAAATGGTTGTACAGTGGATCTAATGATAACCCTTTTTTCCTCTTTCATTTTATGGAATGTAAAGGTGGGACTTCCATCTTTTTTTTTTTTTTTTCTTTTTCCATTTCTGAAGTGGAAGGTAAGTTTTGGCCTTTGGGTACTGTATTTTAGGCCTTTTGAGTTCTGTCCAATGAAATGGATCCATTGATTCAGATTGATGAAAATGTATGGACGAGGTATGGAAACCATACATAAAAGAAGCTCATAATAATAACAATGAAGCAAGGGCACCAAAAGTACCTTTGTACTCTGATCTCTCTTGCCCTAAGCCTCTAAGATGTCTCTACCCACACGTGTATTTGAAGTGAAAAAACTGAGAGAGAGAGAGAGGATCAGGATCTTATGTGAAGTTGAAGCAAATATCTTACTTGGTTATAAAACAAGCTTCTCTATTTTTCTCTCTTCTCTCTCATACACATATGATGATTACCTTGTGAGTGAAGAAAAATGGAGGGAAAAAGACAAGGTATGGAGTCAAAGACAAGAAGACTACTCAATACCCATCTCTCTCAGTTTTACAGGAGGTCCCCCTCCAAACCGTTTTCCACTCGACCCATCAACCAACAAACCCTTCTCTCTCTCTCTCTCTCTTCTCCATATTCTAAGCAAACCCCACACAACCATCACAGTCATCATTATCATCATTCCCACCCCATGAAGCCTTCTCTCTCCATCCCTCTGTCCATGTATATATGCATTTATGCCTATGTGCATCTCTTTATCAGTCTACATTTCTCTGTCTCTCCTTGTCCTTCTTTTATCTTTCACCAAGCTATAAAATCTTCTCTCCCTTGCTTCAAATCCAATTGCGAGAACAAGGACTCCAGGGCACATTGTATTGTAAGCAGGAAATGAGGAAGCCCGATCCCCTGGGGAAGAAGAACAACAACATCCCCAACAAGCTCAGGAAGGGCTTATGGTCACCAGAGGAAGATGACAAGCTCATCAACTACATGCTAAGCAATGGGCAAGGTTGTTGGAGCGATGTCGCCCGGAATGCTGGCTTGCAGAGGTGTGGCAAGAGTTGTCGTCTCAGATGGATTAATTACTTGAGGCCTGACCTCAAGCGTGGAGCCTTCTCACCCCAGGAAGAAGAGCTCATTATCCATTTGCACAGCCTCCTTGGCAACAGGTCCTCTCTCTCTCTCCTCTTGTCCACAACACAAACACAATGAGGGCATTTTCTAACTGTAGAGAGAGTTATCTTTGTCAATTTGAGTCACATAGAAATTGAGATTTTTGTTTTATATTATTTATTTTGGGAGACTATTCTTCTCTAGCTAGACCCAGTTCTGCAGTTTTAGCTTACGCATGCAAAACCATGCCTTGAATAGTTGTATCTGATAATGTTGAATTGCTTGGGATATATCATTCAGGTGGTCTCAGATTGCAGCACGTTTGCCAGGGAGAACAGACAACGAAATAAAGAATTTCTGGAATTCCACAATAAAGAAGAGGCTGAAGAACTCATCATCATCGTCGACGCCATCACCCAACAACAGTGATTCGTCGGAGCACAGAGATGTCATGGGAGGGCTGATGCCCATGAGTGAGCAGGACATCATGGCCTGGTGCATGGATTCATCTTCTTCATCGTCACCTTCCATGCTGGCGATGGCCATGAGCAACCAATTCCAGACATTGCCTCCGCTCGACAACAGCTACGACATGTCTGCAACAGCTGGATACTTCAACAATGCATCCCAATGCTTTACACAAGTTGGGGTGGGAGATAGTTTCTATGGGGATCATGGGATCTTTGGTGGTGGTGATGACATGGGGGTAGGAGTAGGAGGGGAGCTGTTTGTTCCTCCATTAGAGAGCATTGGCCTTGAGAACAGTACTGTAACTGATAGTGACATCCATAAGAAGATCCCTAACTACACTAATAACGACCATTACTTTAGTAACATTGACAGTATCATCAATCACTGCAACAACAGCAGTAGCAGCAGTAACAAAATAGAGRACCTGATAGGAGTAGGGAGTTATTGGGAAGGACAAAACTTGAGAATGGGGGAATGGGATTTGGGAGATCTTATGGGAGATGTCTCTTCTTACCCTTTCCTTGATTTCCAAGTTGAATAATTGATCACCCTTTGATCTCCTTCCCCCTCCTTTTTTTGGTTTCTTTTTTCTTCAATATAGAAAATAGAAAACCCCATTTTGTTAGTTGAGACCCCTTTTTCTTTTTCCTCAGAATTCATGCCTAAAAACCCATGTCATAGGAAATCTGAAGGAGGAAAACTATTTCCCATAATTACAAAACCACCTGAAAGCCTCTGGTTGGCAACCTAGGTCTCTGCTCTAGGTAATCTCAATTCTCCTTTCATGTCTTTAAACCAGGAAACCAAGTTACAAATACTGTCATATATACATGATGTCGGAAGGGATTGCAATAAAGGTCATAGATACAATATGTACTTTGGTGATGCTGCACATGTAACTTTTTTTCCCCTGGTAAGGGTATTTTAGTCATTTTTGTGAGGTGGGGTTTGGTGCAATAATCATCATCATGCTTGTGAAGAAAAAAATGTGAATAGTCACATTCAGGCTAGCTAGAAACGACAATTAATAAGATTAGGTGGTAAACTGTAGTGATTATGAGATGTACAAAGGAATTATTTTAGTGGAAATATGTAGGTTGTACCACACTTTGATGAAGTAATAGAATCAATCTCTTTCTCTCTCTGATTATAAAAAAATTGTGATGATTTTTCTTTTTGTAAATGGGGTTTAATCAGCCAAATGAGAGGTCCACTTGGAGAAAAACATTTACCTTTTAAGGCTCCCCAACCCCAAGTCAGAGGGCTTTCATTTGTGAAGGGAATTTCCAAGACTAATTATAACTCTTTTCCTTTGGATGTGGTCATAGTATTGAAGAATTGATGCAAATGGAAGTATTTGATTGCTAAAGTGATTGCCTGATAGGATTCAATTTGCACATAATAATAATAAGTGATTTGTATAAGTGATCTGTAGTCTTTCACTGTCACGACCACCGCCAGGAGAACTTTTAGTTCTTTTTTTGTCTGATCATCATTAACAACTTGAAAAACATATAGCAGTGTGGAGTTGGCTCTATGGAGGTCTGTGAAAATAAATGCAGAACTGATCCAATTATAAAGTCTGACTCTATAGATAAGAGCAAATTATAATTGACAGTCTAATTTAACAATAAATTTGTTCATTTGTTAAATCGGCACATTTGGATGTGATAAAATGATAATATTACAAGCATAAAATAAGAAATACAGGCACTAAATAAAATAGGTGTACCTTAGTAATATAATATATATAGTTAGTTTGGGTCTTAACTGTTTTTTCTTTTTCATTTTTTTTTCATGAAGCTACATAACCATGACCAGGGGGGAGTCCATCCTACGATCCGACTGTCCAATTTGAATGGATGACCCATTCTGATTTAAAAAATAATTTAAATAAAAAAAGTCCAWAAACCATTTTTTGGGTCTGACAGGTTGAATGCCCAAGTCACTAGTGGGTTGTTGATCAAATAAACGGTTTTGGAATAAAAGTGATTTTAAGGTGAAGTGAAACTGGTCCTCAGGTCAATCGGTCCGACCATCTGGTCTAATCCGGTTTTTAAAACCATTCTCCAAACCCATAACTTTCCAACCCTGATGAAGGTAGGATTAGATCGTAGGTCTCCACTACAATCTTCCAGAGACTACAACCAGAATCAGTCCTGATCTAATTATAATTAATCGGGACACATGATGCCAAACCAGATCGGTTCGATTTGGTTCTGTTGAATGCACCCAACCAACCCATTGGAAGCCCTAGTAGAGGGTAGAAGGTACAAGGTATGCTGACGTTTGTGTAAAGACTAGATTATATGCATATAAAATTTTGCTTAATATGCTCTGTCATCCATCTATAAATTCAAACACCTTTAAAAGTAAACAAGGAAAAAATAAATGAATGTATTGAGCACAGGAGATATGCACTAGGTATATCTTAAAGGCTATGTTTGATTTGAAGGAAAATGCAGGGAAAGGAAGGGAAAGGTAGGGAAACCTTTACAAACATTGTATAGGTTTCTCGTCTTTCCCTTCCTTTCCCTATCTTTTCCTTCAAACCAAACATCGCCCATCTCTTAGGTGTTTAAATTAACTTCCCCATTTAGAGGAAAGTTGCAAATACTTGGATGGGATAAAAATGCYCCTTTTAATAATGAAAATTTTATGGCTAAGATGGACATTGCCTTGTTTGCATGGGAAATAAAAGAACATGGGTAAATGCACTTACCTGAGTAAGTCTTTCTTGGGAAACACTTACCCAGGTAAGTACATTTACCCAGATAAGTGACTTACCAAAAAGTGAACGACGTATTAATGGTAAATTATAAAAGCTCCCTTTAGGCTTTCTAACAATCTTATAAACCTCCCTTTGGTCATAATAAAAATCTCTCCTAACCTTTTGTAAAAAAAAAAAAAAAAAAAAAAAAACGGTGTAAAGGTCTTCATTCCCTTAATTTTCTTGGGTGGAAAATATCAAATATAATGCTCTATTTTTTTAAATAACACATTTACCCTTAATAAACTTTATTCCTTGTTGTGGAAGTAGATAATGGAGATTCNGGGGGGGTTCATAATAGTGTTCATCAGCTGTCTCCTAAGAACCGATGTTATCTTTCTCTTAGGATTAGGGCTGGAAACAAATTGAGCCTTTCATGAGTTATTTGAGCTTGGCTCGTGAAAAGTTTGATTTAGGTCCGTTTTCTAGTCGAACCAAGTTCGAGCCTAATATAACTCGGCTTGTAAGGCTTGTGAGACTAATCAAGCTTATATATATTATACATATAAAAATAATATATACATAAATATATAAATAAAAAATAAAATATTATATTATAATATCTTTAGTTTTATATGTATAATAATGACTAGTTTTTACAATTCTTAAAATTTTGTTATGTAAAATAAAAAAATATTTTTTATATTTATAATTTTTTTAGTTTTATAAGAAGCTTGGCTCACAATTGAGTTCGAGCTTACGAGCTTTTGAGTCGAGTCCAATATGGCTCGAATAGCCAAATATTCGGCTCAATTTGGCTCAAATCCATCCCTAATAAGGACTCTATTTAACCCCATTTACCTTTGCTCCTTAGAAGTGCATAAGGATTGAAGGATGAGGAGAGGACAAAAGTCACGAAACATAAGAGAGAGAGAGAGAGAGGAGTGCGGGCATATTGAATTTAGGGTGTATGCCAATTTGCAGAGAAGCATGGAGAATGCCTCTTTGATGATATATCTAGACAAACTCAAGTCTGAACAAAAGTAATAGTTTTCAGTTAGATATATCTAGACAAACTCATAGAGCTCCTGTGCACCTAATTCGTGTGCATTTTATAGAGAGTAGAAGGTTCTTGGAAGCAATCCATACTTTAATGTGTAGTTGGTATGTATAGAGATTGTTTACCCTTCTCTGCCCAGAGTGTCCTCTAGAGATTTTCTTTTTTCCTGTTTTAGAGATGAAGAAAGATTGGTTTGCCCAAGGATCTGGACATTCTTCCAATGAATCTAGAACTAGAGGTCTGTTAAATTTAAGAAACCCAGATGGGGCAGGTGGCTAGCCATTGCTTGGTGCAATGATAAAAACTTCAGACTGATTCAAATCACTTTGTAAGAATAAAAAGATTAAAAAATTAAATGATGCTGACTTTCTTCTTCAGTAGTGAAGCCATTTGTTTAGCAATGACTGGTCTAGCTAGCAATAAAGCATATCCCTGTCATAGAAATAATACAGTTTAGTGGTAGGTGAGGATAGATTCTGTTTATTGCTGGACAAGGTTGCTGAGGTAGGGATGATTCTGTTTAAGTGTGAAATAAAGTGAAAGATAATCAGATAATAAAGTCATGAGTCATTCTTGTGTAGGGTAGTTGCTGAATGGTCTTATTATAACAGAGTAATGGATCTGTTTGACTCTTTGGCAAAATTAATTGATTAAGTGACTTCTTTGRCAAGCTTGCTATAGTTGCAGGAACAGTTATGGCTGGAGAAAGGAACCAAAAAAAAGAAAGACTTTGGGTCCTTGTCAGGTAGAAGCCAAGCCAGACCCACCAACCACCCTTTTTCCATGCAAACAAGATGAAGCAAATCAATGGAAAAGAAGTGGTTGTTCCACTATTAATTAGGGTAGGCAATTGAGAAAGAGAGGGGTGGCAATTTGGCATAAATTTTAAATGGTTATTTGGTAATGGCTGAAGTGGCTTAATTTAATGATTTATTACTTTGGTTCATCGATTCCAACTATTTGGTTGGGCGGAATAGGAATCCCCTATTTTAGGTAATGGCCATTCTCTCTCCATCCCTTAGGAATGAAATCCCATTTCAGATTATTCCAATTTCTATTTTATTCTTATCTGAATTAACAAAATATGAGAATAAATCATTCCGATTCTAATAGATTTTGATTCTGATTTTAATTTCAATTATGACTCAAACCAAACGGACCCTTAACGAGGTTGGGTTAGGATGAGCTTAGGACTTGTGATTTTAATTTTTAAATCCCAAATGCTCAAGGCCCCCCATTTGACTTTCTGTGTTAGGGATAAAAAGTATTTTTGCTTTAGATGTATTATAATACTTTTTGTTCAGTTCATGCTCGTCAGGTCAATGATCCTATCGTTTCTGATAAGACCCAATTATACTACAAGCCTCGACTCTTGGCTCTTTTCATGTAAATCAGTCCTTAACGCTAACAATAATCAGAGCTCAAGTTGCAGAGCAACCCATCTGTGTAATAATGGGATACCAAAACCATACACATACCTAGCTTTTGTAGTATTTAACTATTTTTAACATTAATTTAACAATAAAAATATTATTTTGTGAAATAAAGAAATTATGGAAAGAATAAAAAATTATCACTATAATGGTCTTTAAACCCATAGTTAGATCTAGGTTCGAGATCATTTACGATCCCCTTGTTAATTGTTGCTCAATTCTCATTTTTTTTAATAAGGAGCAAGACCCCTTGGGTATTTTTTTTTTATTAACCATTGTCAAAAATGTAAGAAAATAGTAATAGGGGTAGCTACCTTAGGTTAGGGCTGTCTAGTGGTCGGGTCTACATGATGGCTTCGAACTGATCAAACTAATTATAATGGTTTTGGTTTCATGATTTTGTCTCAATTCATAATTGGGTCGGTTGAAAACTAATTATTTTATTGAATATATAATATTCTTTTATTTTTTTATAATTTTTGTCATATTTTAAGTTTGAAATGATAAATTTGATAAATAATGAATAAGATAATATTAATTAAAATTTTTTAGTTTATTAAGATATAAATAATTTAGCATTTTCTATCATTTTATTAAGGTTATGTTATCAAAATTTAAAATTTAAGTTATTATTTAAATAAATAAATATAATCTTCTGGACCCAATAGACCCAACTATTAATCAGGACAGTTCTGAGTTTATGATTTTGTCCCAATTATTAATCAGTTACCTAGACCTGATCCTTATCCAACCCAATCCATTGACAGCCCTACCTTAGATTTTGATGTCTTTTCAACTGGAACCAAGTTTCATAAAAAGTTATTTATGGAAAAGTATGGATAAATCCATTGCAGATTTCTAAATTTCACTGCAGATCTGTAAAAATTTAAAATGTCAAATACCCCATTCTATACACCAATGTCTGCCTGTAAA